AGCCTTCCCCAAAAGAAAAGAGATTGACTCTAACAAACAATAACGCTACCTTATACTATATTATATTTGTCTTGTCAAATTTATTCTCGCTTGTGTTATTTGAGAACTCCCTAACTAGCCATGCAAAAGAAAATCAAACCATTTGGGGCAATCCTTTTTCAGTAAACCCTTTCCATACCCGTTCCCTATCATGAACAAAACAAAACCCATGCCTAAAAACTAGGGCAGCTTTGACATTCATGGATACATATCTCCATACTTACTTTGCCAAACACCAACATCCTTTTGGTGTGTTGTATCTCATATTCACATATTATACGCCAACGTGGCTATCTAATGTCCTTTAAATCCTTACCACTTTCAACTTTTCTGTGAATTCAAGCATGCACATATCAATGTCAGAAGAAAATGCCAAGCACTATTTTGAATATCCGACTTCGAAATTTTTGACATTCATTGTTTTCAAATTGACTCCGCAAAAATAAAATAATACTACAAAAAAAAAATCAATCAAAGGCAAGACATACTTTTTTTTCAAAAAAAAAAATACTTGCACAATATTGCATCGTGAAAAAGTCATAACCATTTATCTGCATAAATAACTATCATGTATATATCTTCGTCATTGAAAAACTTTATTTGGAACTTTTTTCGTGGTTGTCAAATCTCATTCATTCAAAAATACAAAAAGCTTAGCATACATCTACGTTTCCTCTTTCAAGTTAGTCAGGTTTTCTCTCACATATTAGGGTTAGCCAGGTCTTCTACTAGGCATTGGTCAAAACCAGGTTTTTCATTATAGGTCCATGCATTCATACATTTAGCATCATGCATGCATCATCGTAGGGGTTCAAAGAAAAGAGAAGAAAAAAACATAACTATGCATCGCCAACTTCGATGGGAATTCATGAGTTTGATGCAAATCATTTCAAAAAGTACATATGTGAAAAAGTTCAGAATTAAAAAAAAAAGGGTGGATGAGGATCTCACATGAATTTCTACCCATATATCAATACATAAAGCACACATTACTATAGTGTAGAATGCAGGGAAGTACTAAAGGCCAAAAGGTATAAAGTTAAATAAAAAACAACGGCGGGACTTCCACGACATCCTTATAGGACTCGAGTGAACTCTAAGGCTATGGAAGTTTGGGGAAGAAGAACATGAAGCCATAAGGGCCAATATTAGCCAACTAAAAGATCAAGTCGGTCAAATCTTGGAAGCTTTCAAAACCATGAAGAATGTAGGAGAGACTTCGTCTGTAAAGGCCGAGGATAATGCTCACCCTCCAGTACATAACGCTGTAGGCACACAATTCACGCTTCCAATGTATGGTTTGCCACCGGGTTACACACCACCCATTGGAGATCATTTAGAGGCAGAGCACACCTCTTTGGCATTTTCCATAACAAATGGTTTACTTCCTATTAGTACGCAAAGGCCTATCCTCACGACAGAGACGAAGATGAATGAAACGTCCAAGTCTCCTCACACAGCTATTGCCCATGATGTTTCGACTAAGGCCACCATACACACGGACACAGAAGACGAGAAAAGTAAACTTGAAGTACTGGAAGTCAGGTCAAAGGCCATAGAGGGGTTTGAAAGTTACGGATTTCGTGACATGGTAAAGTTGAGTTTGGCCCCAGGAATGACAATTCCACATAAGTTCAAGGTGCCAGAATTCGAGCAGTACAAGGGTAACACATGCCTCAAGAACCACTTGACCATGTATTGCCGGAAAATGGCTGCTTACGCTATGACAAAAAATTACTTATTTATTTCTTTCAAGACATCTTGGCCGAAGCAGCGCTGAGTTGGTATACACGTCTGGAATCCTCTCATATCGGTTCTTGGGCAGATTTGGCAGACGCCTTTGTAAGGCAGTACAAATACAATATGCACATCGCGCCAGATAGGTTACAATTACACCACATAGCAAAGAAAGAGGAGAAGTCTTTTAAGAAGTATGCGCAACGATAGAGAGAACTGGCAGCACAAGTGGAGTCACCTCTATACAAGAAGAATATGGTTGCAATGTTTGTGAGCGCACTACAACCACCTTTTCATGAGCATATGATCGAAAGTGTGATTCCCAAATTTCGTTAGTATCATCATCATAGACCAAAAGAATTGAGATTGGGCTGAAGAATAAGAAAATTACATCTTCAGCCACTATTCCAAAAAATTCGTTTTAAACCAGAAAAAAAAGAAGGAAAGGGGATTGCATGCAACATTAGCAATACCCATATGGGGACGTCATGCCCCCACTCATAACTATCACCAAAGCCCAGTTTTCATCCTGGCACCGAAGCCTAGTTTTCATTTTGGCACACAAAAAAAAATCCCAATTTTCATCTTGGCACCAAAGCCCAGTTTTCATCCTGGCACCAAAGCCTAGTTTTCATTCTGGCACCCGAAGAATTAAAAAAAAATAGCCCAGTTTCCATTCTGGCACCAAAGCCCAATTTTCATTCTAGCACCAAAGTCCAGTTTTCATTCTGGAACAAAAGCCCAGTTTTCATCCTGGCACTCAAGCCCAGTTTTCATCCTAGCACCAAAGCCCAATTTTCATCCTGGCACCAAAGCCCAGTTTTCATCCTGGCACCAAAGCCCAGTTTTCATCCTGACACCAAAGCCCAGTTTTCATTCTGGCACTAAAGCCCAGTTTTCATCCTAGCACCCAAGCCCAGTTTTCATCCTGGCACAAAAAAAAAGCCCAGTTATCATTCTAGCACCAAAGCCCAGTTTTCATCCTGGCACTAAAGCCTAGTTTTCATCCTGGCACCAAAGCCTAGTTTTCATCCTGGCACAAAAAAAAAGGCCAGTTTTTATTCTGGCACCAAAGCCCAGTTTTCATCCTGGCACTAAAGCCCAATTTTCATTCTGGCACCAAAGCCCAAATTTTCATTCTAGAACCAAAGAACTAAAAAAAAAAGTTTTTACGAGGTTCGTGTGCCTCTCCATTTAATTTTACGAGGTTCGTGCGTCTCTCCATTTAATTTTACAAGTTACGAGGGTCGTGCGCCTCACCATTTAATTCTATGAGGTTTGTGCGCCTCACCATCAAGTTATACGAGGTTCGTGCGCTCACCATCAAGTTATACGAGGTTCGTGCGCCTCTCCATTTAATTTTACGAGGTTCGTGCGTCTCTCCATTTAATTTTATAAGTTACGAGGGTCGTGCGCCTCACCATTTAATTCTATGAGGTTTGTGCGCCTCACCATCAAGTTATACGAGGTTCATGCGCTCACCATCAAGTTATACGAGGTTCGTGCGCCTCTTCATTTAATTTTATGAGGTTTGTGCGCCTCACCATCAAGTTACAAGGTGTCATGGCTCTTCAGCAAGGTCCACAAGGTTGCTACATGCTGTACCAGGTACACTCCGAGGTAATCTCTTTCCTTTCCCTTGGACCCAAACGAAATTAGTGTCTTTATCTTTATTTAGCTTTTACAAGGATAACACAAAAAACTCTAAGGTTCATGTTTTCCAGCAAAACCCAAATAAAGAGGGACAACTCACCCAATTTCGTCCAAGTAAGACAATAATAATTAATGGTGAGCAAAAAGGGATAAAATAACAACTTTAATACAATATTTTTGAAATGTTAGTTTAATATGGTAATAATTTGAACTAATATTATGCTAATAATTATAAACAATAATTAAAATGGTATATTAATATAATTTGTTGCATAAGTTGCTTTTAAAGAGGAAAATATGATTTTCTGATAATAATGATAATTAATGTTTTGAATATTATTTAATTTGTTTTCTGGCAACCATGACTATTTCTTTCCCTATTTTGTTTTATTGTTAATTAATTCACAATTAAGGCAAGATTGCCATAATATTACAATGTGTATATAAATACGCACTCTGCCATAGAAAATGAAAAAAAAAAAGAAGATAGAGAGATAACAAGAGTACTGAAGAATATAGAGAAAAGTAAGTTCTCAGCTTTGAGGAACTCTGCCAAAAGGAATCATCAAAGAAGAAAGCTAAAAAAGGTATGTCACCTCTACACCATTCTTTTTCTCTTTTTATTGTACTCTCTGAAGTTTTCTTAAAGATATTTTTTCTCTTTCTACACACAAATAATGTTTTTTTTTTAAATCATAATTTCTTTTTATAAGTATGTTTCGGCCTATGGCCGATTTCTTTCTTTTTCTCACCATTTTTTAAATAAATAAAAAATACAAAATCTTCAAAAACCAAAAAGAATGTCAATCTTGTTTAAATCAAATCTTTTTCGTATTCACTTGTTTTCAAAAAATCTAAATTAATCAATAATAATTTTCAAACAAACTCACAAACCTTTTTCTACATAAAGAACTACGTGATCCGTGATTGTCCATTATAAATGGATGTACGTAGGACAATGGTCAATTCTTATCAGGTTCATAAAACAAAAAATATTTTTTGTTTCTTAATAGTTTGTTTTGTTTTATTTTATTATTTTGTTTAGGGAAAATTAACACTCTTGCAAAACCACGTCAACTTTATATATTTAATTAAAGGTACTGCTTTTGGGCAGGCGCGATAGGGTACTAACACCTTCTTACGCGTAACCGATTCCCGAACCTGGAAATCTCTTTTCGTAGACCATGTCTTATTTTTTGGTTTTCCATAGTTTTTCCATATAAATTATAGTGGCGACTTCAAAATCTTTTTCCTAAGCTCGTTTGTTTTTCGAGTTGCCGTCCCGTCGTGATTTCGGTTGCGACAATATATATATATATATATATATATACACACACACACATATGTATGAAATCATTTGTTAGGGTCATTGTTTATTTAAGTTTGTGTCATCTAAAATCATGTTTAATTATATATTATAAATATGTACATCTTCATTAAAACAAATAATAATAATAATAGATTATTTTTAATTTATGAACTTTTTTTGTACACTCTTTTCCTTTATCTATACTAATTTGTTTACTCACAAATATTTTCATCCACTTTGTCACAAGGACATACATAACACAAAACTTAAGTGATCTTTTTAAGGCTTCTTAATTAAGTCATGAAAGTGTAATTGAGTATAGGAAAAGATTGAGATTAAATTAGCATCTTTACTGTGGAATAAAAAAAATTAAAAGCAATGAAAGGTTTATAAAGGTGTATATAAAATGAAGATACATGTGTGTCATTACTCAATTTATAATTACTCATTCAAGATCGTAGAGTCATCCACACTGATACACAAACATCTATATAAATATGCAAGATATAACGCAAAACTCTTCCGCTGAAGGTTTCCTGGCGACCGGTAATGGGATTTACTGTTGTAAAACTGACAATTTGAGATATGAGCTTTAAGGGTACGAGTAAAATGAAGAGAACGCACGCCAATATGACGATTCCTACATAGAAGTGCTTGTACAAGCTTGATTTTTGTAGAACTATTCCAAGCGCAGCACAGTAGGCAATCATCATGGACACTAGGGACAGGGAAAGGAACCCAAGCCCTGACATTATCTTGGTGGGCAATCTTTCTAGGAAGTCTGTTGCAGCATAGCGCGATGTTTGAAGGTCAATATATATCAATACTGTAACGATAGAAGCCAAGAAAGAGATTACATCAGCTACAATAAACACAGTAAACCGTTTTTCCTTTATCAAAGTCGGCATTCCAGTGTCTTCATGGAGACCCCCTGGGACAGTGAAGAGTGCAGCGAACGTGACAGTTATAACGAGAACACCCACAATTGCAAATGTCCCAGCTGTTTCCTTTGCCCATTTTTCTCCATCTTTCATCAGCTCCTTGTGAGTTTCATTAAACATCTCTTCAGGCTTCTTACCCTCATCATTTAAGGCTTCTCTACATTTGACATGCACAACTTCCTCCACTGCCTGCACTCATTTCATCCACGTTAATGCATGCATAGACTATATATTGCACTAGAGAGAGAGAAAATTAATGAAGATGAATGCACCTTAAACCATTGAATTTCTCTTTGCATTTGGAGAGCAGCACCGGGTCTGAGATTCAGATCAGACAAAGGTCCTAAACGTGCAGCCAAGTGCAATAGGTTATTGCCAAGCATGTCTGTTGTATAGTTAATTATATCCTTATTTCTACAGAGAGAACGCATGAGTTTGAACACATTGCATTTGCGATGAAGAACTGCATACGAAAATATGTCTCTTCCATGATCATCCATTGCCCATAAGAGGTCATGGTTAGCCTCCCTCATAGCATTTATGAACTCAACATTTCCATGCTTTGCTGCTTCCAACATGGCATCATACACCAAAGCATCCCGGAGTTTTGAACTATTAAACTTCGAAACAATATCTTTATAATACCTTAATATTTTTAGAAATTCATGCTTGTGTCCAAATATACTCTCTGTATTCATTGTATTCAGTCCATATAGATCCGTTGTCGATTCTGAAACTATGGGAGGGAAAACAAAATTACTTATGGTTTGGTTTTACTAACCGAAGATATTTAGAAATTTGATCATTTCAACCAGCAAACAATTTCAGTATTAACCCTCCAGAATGTTAGACTCCGTAGACAGAATTCATTGTAATTAATGAATCTCAATAGTTACCATTAGTGTAATTTAAATTGACTATTACATTTTTTTAAATTGTTTGATTTTGTATTTTTTTTATAAGAGTTTAATACGCTGATCCAACCTGATTTGGAATTCAAATCAAACAATAAAAAAGTATCATCACATCTTTAATTCTTAAAAAAACATTATTTTAAAATCCATATCCACATAAACTAAATATGATTTTAGTGTAACTAAACCTTATTTTTAAAATTTATTAAAGCATCTAAACGAAATAATATCTAATAATATTTAAATCATCTAGTATAAAAATAATGAAAATGTTAAACGCTATATATTAAAATATCTTAATACTCATATAATTTCTAAACATTTAAGATTGTCTAAAGCTTTCATGCATGTACATAGATATACTCTTTTATCTGTTAAATTGTATTCTATTTTTCTGTGCAGAACATTACATTTATTAAAAAATTGCATTAGAATAAAAAAGAACGTTAAAAGATATGAAAATATTTTAAAAATATTTGTTTCATACCCTTCCTAAGATCCTAAAAAAATATTAGAGCATAAATATAGTATTGTATCTTTGTCTACCTTTAAAATTAATGAAAAAGCTTGTTTTCGTAAAGGTCATAGTTCCTTGTTGGACTAGTGGTTGTGTTTTAATTTTATTTAATAAATAAATCATTTATTTGTTTTATTAATTTATTTGAACACTTCCTGTGGAACGTAGGTTGGAAATTGCTTTATCTTGGTATTCAATTTCTTTTTGTTTTGGATCGCGATATGTTGAAAAAGCTATTTTGAGAACAATTTGACAACGACACATATGTAAGTGTTGTATTTGACCATTTTAAATAATTTTATTTTAAAGAAATATGATTTTGAAAAGGGGATAGGGTTCCATATTTGAAAATTCTGAAACTACCCTTCTTTGTTCAGTACTCTTTCCTCTCCATTTTAGGTTTTCAGTTTTCATTTCAATTTCTCTCTCTCCATTTAGTGAAGGTCTCGAAGTGGACGTTCAACGATCTCTCTCGACGTTGAGGAAGTTTCGTCGTCGCTGGCCTCGAAGTCTCTCTTTCTCTCTCGAGTTCGTGATTTCAACGATTTACGTTCAACCATCTCTATGGTTGGTCTGATCAAAGTGTCTCGTTCAGTGTCGAAGTTTTGAGCTTTTTTTGTGCAATGGGTTCATCCGCTGACATTTGTTCTTCGAACAAGGTATGCACTTTTTCCCTTTTCCGTATTCGTATTTTGGGGTTGGGTTTTTGCGTTTGGCCTTTGTTGGTCATTTTGCTGGTTTTTGCTTTCGGGTTGTGACCTTTGTTGGTTATTTGTAACAAGAAATATTAATTTTTTTGCAGTTGTTTGTTCGCCATTCAATGAAAACGAAGTGTGTTGCTACTTTGAATGGAATTTTGAGTGAGAAGCACAAGTCCATTATTCCGAAGACGCAATTTGGGTGGTTTTTAGAACTAAATGATAACCTTAAGATTGGTAGAAATAGTGCCAAACATGACTGATTTATGTAATTTATGAATAATGCAATATTGGTAGATGTTCAAGTATAGATATAACTGGATATGTATTGCAACAATTATTTTGAATGTTAATAAAGAAAGTGGTTATTCGAATTGTGATTGTTATATTAATTCCATTTGTTGTTGTTTGATAGTATTATTTAAGATTCAACCTTTGTGAATGTTAAAAGAAATGTATAATTCTGTTACCCCTATGTGAAGGGAAGACCCACTAAGGGTGTTTATAGTTTGAGAGATTAGGTTATGCACCATTGACACAGGAATGATGCACAATCGATTACCAGCGAAAAAATCCCCATTTATACCAAAAGTGGAAGAGTGCTACCCCAGACATGGCTTAAGCACTCATTAGTAGTCATGACGACTGTGTTTTCAAGGTTTTGTGGATTGATCCCCCTGTTGGCCATGGTTTAAGGTGTCCACAACAAGAAATTTAATGTTTGGTGAGTCCTATGTGAGTGGAAGACCCACTAAGGGTGTTTATAGGTGTAGAGGTGAGGTCTACACCATTGGCACAAGAATGATGCACTTGTAATCAAGGTAAAATAGTAGTATAATTAAGGTGTGAGGTGATTCTACTAACACAAGCCAAACACTTATATGGACTTCACCTACCTTGGTTTAAACACCTATATGAACTATTTTGTCCACAATTGAGTGGGGTAAATTGTGTTTTGATGCACTTGACACCATCAATGATCAACAACATGAGACGTCCATGCAAAAACTAGAAAAAATCACCTATAAGGACATAAAAATAACCCTGGGGAGTCAAGTTCTTCCAACTAGGGAATACAGATGAAGTTTCCGTACAAATGACCATTTTTTCTCTGGTAATCGATTACAGGGGTCTTGTAATCGATTACTATAGGAAAAAGGGTCATTTGTACAAAAACTTCAATTGTACTCCCTAGCTAGATGAACACTACTCCCCATGCTCTATTTGTTTTGAATTTTTCATTTTTTGAGATGGTTGAGTGAGTTCAATGTTATTGGGTGTGCTCCCTGAACCAATAATGAGGTTAGGTCATTGATTTCTTCAAAAAAAATATCCATTTAGGTGGTTTTTTCCAACTGAGGTGAGGTACATGACCATTGTTGTAACACCCCTTCTTGGAGTTTTACAGAAAAATTTTNGACTTCACCTACCTTGGTTTAAACACCTATATGAACTATTTTGTCCACAATTGAGTGGGGTAAATTGTGTTTTGATGCACTTGACACCATCAATGATCAACAACATGAGACGTCCATGCAAAAACTAGAAAAAATCACCTATAAGGACATAAAAATAACCCTGGGGAGTCAAGTTCTTCCAACTAGGGAATACAGATGAAGTTTCCGTACAAATGACCATTTTTTCTCTGGTAATCGATTACAGGGGTCTTGTAATCGATTACTATAGGAAAAAGGGTCATTTGTACAAAAACTTCAATTGTACTCCCTAGCTAGATGAACACTACTCCCCATGCTCTATTTGTTTTGAATTTTTCATTTTTTGAGATGGTTGAGTGAGTTCAATGTTATTGGGTGTGCTCCCTGAACCAATAATGAGGTTAGGTCATTGATTTCTTCAAAAAAAATATCCATTTAGGTGGTTTTTTCCAACTGAGGTGAGGTACATGACCATTGTTGTAACACCCCTTCTTGGAGTTTTACAGAAAAATTTTTCATTTTATTAATTAGAAATATGTTATCTAATGTTGTTATAATGCACAAATTTTAAAAGGCATTTTCAATAAATAATAGATCTGTCAACAAAAGGGAAAGATATACGTATAAGATAACATGCTGTCAACTTTTACCTTTGCTGACTATTTTAATCATAACTTTTTCCACAGACCTCCAAATGATGTGATTCTTTTTTTTATTAGAAAGTAGACTTAAAAATCTTTCCAATGACTACTAATTTATAATTTTTGGACATATGAGTAGGTGCAATTAATTCTTTAAACTTAACGTTTTATATATTTCTACCACCTATAACCTTTGTTGGTTGTTTTGCTCATAACTTTCTCCATTGAACTCCAAATGAGTTGATTCTTGTTTTGTTGGAATGTAGACTCAAAGATCTTTCAAATGATTATTAACTCATAATTTTTAGATCAGTTCAGTAGCAGTTAATTTCCCAAAAACAACGTTTTTCTAAGCTTTCTAAATGAGTTTACTTTCACGTTATTGTCTCATGTTTCTTATATTATTCTAATTTATTTTATTTCTTTATAAAATGTCCATAATTCAAGGTAAAATAGTAGTATAATTAAGGTGTGTCTGATTCTACTAGCACAAGCCAAACAGTTATATGGACTTCACCTACCTTGGTTTAAATACCTATATGAACTATTTTTTCCACAATTGAGTGAGGTAAATTGTTTTGATGCACTTGAAACCTATTTGAAAACTCTTTGAGTCTAGATTCCAACAAAACAAGAATTGAGTCATTTGAAGTTTGATGGAGAAAATTAAGAACAAAACAAGTAGCAAAGGTCAGAAAAACAGAGTTGGGGAGTGTTGTTCATCCAGGTGGGGAGTACAGTTGAATTTTCTATACAAATGACCATTTTTCTCTGGTAATCGATTATAGGGGTTTTGTAATCGATTACGAGGGCAGAAATTGGCCAGAAAAGCTTATGGAGCTCATCTAACTTACATGAAAGCACCTAAATGACGTTTTTTCTCGACAGTTGAATGACCTAACATGTTCTTACACCATACACACTGGACACATGCACTTGTAATCGCTTACAGAGAGGTTGTAATCGATTACCAGGTTAAAATTGTAGTTTTGTACTTAAAGTTGATCTACGCTACCCAAATGTGGCAATTGCGCTCCCCATGAATTTTTTTTGTTTGTTATGAGTGTCTTTTTAAGATATTGTCAATGGAGGACCCTTGTTGATCATGGTTGATAGTTTCCACAACTTGTAGTGTGAAGTTTGGTAAGTCTTCTGTGTAGGGAAGACCCATCGTGGGTGGTCTTAGCAACGCATGTCAGGTCTTGCACCATACACACTGAAAACATGCACTTGTAATCGCTTACCAGAAAGGTTGTAATCGATTACCATGTTAAATTTGCAGTTTTGTATTGAAAGTTGATCTGTGCTAAGGTGTGGCAACCGCGCTCCCCATGATTGTTTTTTTCTTGTTTGTTATGAGTGTGTTTTTAAGATTTTATGAATGAAGGACCCTTGTTGGTCATGGTTGATGGTTTCCACAACTTATAATGTGAAGTTTGGTAATGAATCAATGGTGTGTGTGAAAAAGCCTAAACCTTGGGTATACCAACCTCGACAGTGTGTGCGAAAAAGTCCAAACCTTGGGAGAAA